CTCTCCCCACACCCCAGCCCCTCACTCACAGAGCTCGCAGTAGCGGTGGCAGCCCCGGCCCAGCCCCTGCAGGTACCGCTGCAGCACGTCGGTGAGCAGGTCGCAGGCCGAAACTTGCACCGAATCCCACCCCAGCGCCTGGCAGATCTGCGCCACCGACACCCGCAGCAGCCACCACGAGTAGGTCTCGCACATGCCGGCTCGGCTCAGCGCGCCCCGGGCCCGCCGCCCGCCCTGGGCCGGGAGGGCCGCGGGTGCCTCACGCACTGCCCGCCGCCGCCGCCGCCATCTTGGCGCCGTTGCACCTCCCCGCCTCCCGCCACAGGCCGCGCCGCTCCAGCGCCGAGCGCATCGAGCGGGGAGCGGAGCGCCGAGCGCATCGAGCGCGGCTGCGGTGCCGCTGGTGGCGGCGGTGAAGAACCGGCCCCGTCCATGAACCGGCCCGCTCCGGAAAACCACCGAAACCGGGTGTTTTCTGGCAGCAGCGGCGGGAGGTGAGGCTGGCGGCGGGAGGGCTTCCGGGGCGCTGCGGGCTGCGGCCCTGGGCTGGGCTTCCCCGCGGCCCCGTGAGGCGCTGCCGCCGGCGCATCATTTGAACAGGCGGCGGGGCCGGGAGGGACCGGCCGCAAGGGGCACTGAGCGCTCCCGGAGCGTGCTTCGCCCCTTCCCCGTTCCGGCGGATGGAGGGGGCAGATGTGAGCCCTCAGCAGCGCGGGGGTTCACGGAACTGTGGCGTTTAACACATCCTCCGGCAGTGCGAGCCCACAGACACCAGCTCCTCACTGCCAGGACCTCAACACCGAGTCGTTTAGGTGAGGCCCTTTAATAACGCTTTTCAGTTCGGAGGTGGTGTTTTTGGGTCCCCCTGCGTCACTATATGGCCTCACCACATGTGTTCCATATATGTCATGTATGGCAAATGCCTCAGGTTTGCTGTGGAGCCGCCGGCTGTGCAACGTGGAAGCGAAGGATTAAGCCTACGCTGTGAGGAACTGGAATCCGAAGCCCAGCCTGGTTTGTGTTGGAAGGGACCTTAAAGCTCCTCCAGCTCCAACCCTTGCCACGGGCAGGGACCCCTTCCACTGGAGCAGCTTCCTCCAAGCCCCTGTGTCCAGCCTGGCCTTGAACACTGCCAGGGATGGGGCAGCCACAGCTTCTCTGGGCACCCTGTGCCAGCGCCTCAGCACCCTCACAGGGAAGAGCTTCTGCCTAAGAGCTCATCTCAGTCTCCCCTTGGGCAGGTTCAAGCCATTCCCCTTGGCCTGTCCCTACATCCCTTGTCCCAAGCCCCTCTCCAGCTTTCCTGCAGCCCCTTCAGGCACTGGAGCTGCTCTCAGGTCTCCCCTTCAGGAGCCTTCTCTTCTCCAGGCTGCCCCAGCCCAGCTCTCTCAGCCTGGCTCCAGAGCAGAGCTGCTCCAGCCCTCGCAGCAGTTCCATGGCCTGCTCTGGACTCACTCCATCAGCTCCAGGTCCCTCTTCTGCTGGGGGCTACAGATACAGCAAAATTGGCAGCAATAAAGTGTTTATGAGTGAATTGTTTATTTGGGAAAAAAACTCCAAGCAGAGAAAAGGTGAAACTATGGTGGCAAAAGGGAGGATCCAGAAACAAAGGTAATGGTTAGGGAGTGGTGTGGGAGTTAGAATGAGGAGCAGCAGGGCTGTTAACTCAGTGCTGGCTGAGCATACACTAATGGCAATTCTGTGTAACTAATCAGGGTGTGAAGGACACAATTGTAAATAATAGCAGCCTATTGTTAGGAGGTAATTAATTCACAAGTTAGCTCTTTGATTTCTTAGACCATTACTAGTGTGCCGATTAGTCAGTAAACAGCCTTGTCTCTTCTATCAGTTACACCTCAAGTTTGAAACCTGTAGAGAAGGGACCTGGACCCATGCCCAGTCCTGTTGCTGGTCAGGGCAGGTGGATGTTCTTTACTCGCTCTCTTCAGTCCATAGGGAAGCTTTGGGTAGGTCTGAACTGGCATCACCTTTCCCATCTTAGAAATGGGGTTCCTTCTTTCTAAATTGGAAAGACATGGATTTGACAGTTGGACTTTGGTGGATGAGGAATTAGTTGGGTGGTCATATCCAGAGGATAGTGGTCAAGAGCTCAGCGCGCAGATGGAGACTGGTGTGGAAGTGAGGAACACTGAGGTCGTGTTCCTCAGGGGTCCATGTTGGGACCAGCACTGTTTATCAGTGACATGGACAGTGGGATTGAGTGCACTTTCAGCAAGTGTGCTGACAACATCAAGCTGTGCGGCTTAGTTGATATGCTGGAGAGAAAGGAACAGGATCCAGAGGGACCTGGACAGGCTGGAGAGTTGGAACTGTGCAACCTCCTGAAGTTCAACAAGGCCAAATGCAAGGTCCTGCACATGGGTTAGGGCAATTCCAAGCACAACTACAGGCTGGAGGAGACTTAATTGAAAGCATCCATGGGGAGAAAGACTTGGAGATGTTAGTTGATGAAAGGCTCCCCATGACCCAGCAGTGTGCATCTGAGCTCAGAAACCAACCATGTCCTGGGCTGCATCCCCAGTGTGAGCAGCAGGTTGAGGGAGGGGATTCCTTCCCTCTACCCTGCTCTGACGAGACCCTCCTTGCAGTCCTGTGTCCAGCTCTGGGACCCCAGGCACAAGGTCGTTGACCTCTTGGAGTGAGTCTGAGGGGGCCACAAAGATGCTTCATAGCTGCAACACCTCTGCTCTGGAGCCAGGCTGAGAGAGCTGGGCTTGTTCAGCCTGGAGAAGGCCGTTGGAGACCCTGGCCCCATCCCTGGCAGTGTTCAAGGCTAGGCTGGATGGGGCTTGGAGCAACCTGCTCTAGTAGAAAGTGTCCCAGGGGGTTGGGACTGGATGAACTTTAAGGTCCCTGCCAACTCAAAAGAGCCTGTGACTCCATAAATGTACCACAGAGGCAGGTGTAAGCAGTCACCTCCTTCCTCAGTCTGCTACTGGACTAAGTTGGACTTCAGTCAGCTGGTCTAGAAACCAAACAGTTAAGTGCTGAACTTGGTTAATGAGTTTCCTTAGAGGCAACTTGTTGGCTTAACAAAGTGATGTCTTGGTGATACCCTGCAGCATTTGCACATGTGAATAAGGGAAACAGTACGAGTATCCTGGGGTGGGATTCAGGGAAATGAGAGGCTGTTCTGGAGGATATATATTCTAAACACTGAGATGACTCATAGAATCAGATCTGTTCACTTGAGAATACGAACATCTACAAATGGTAGTAATGAGAGAAACACCAGTGTTCCAACTGCATGATGCAGAGGCTATTCCTGTCTCCTCCAGCACACAATATTATGTGCATAACAAACCAACACTTAGAAGCACAAGGTGAAGGAGGGTGAGCACTACTCTTCCAAAGAAACACCCACTTACATGTTTTACATGCCAGGTACATTACAAAATACAGAGCACAGCCTTTAGAAATGAAGTTTCAATGCACACCTCCATCAAAACCAGACTTAGACACCAAGAGTGTTTGCTCCACGAACAGCCAAGAGGATTTTGTCTCATGTAGGTGGTTTATTGTAAGAATTTACAGATTTCTGGCTTTCCCATTTCTTCACAAAAGAAGAGCAGTTTCATTACCACAGACATGGGCAGGTTAAACCATATGCTCAGAAAAGCTCTTCTTCACCTGTAAGGAAAGTGGAAGCAAATTAAACTCCTTCCATTTATTCAATCACTTAATACTTTTATCTCCTCCAATCTGAATACTTCATTAATATTCTTTCCACCTTCCCCCAATTCTTTATCAAGTCAATTTTTCCCTTAAGTTTTAAATTTGGAATATACTTATTTTAACTTCAGAAACCTGTTCAGATTTTTATATACAGACATTTTTAAGTCATTGCATAATGTCAGGCCACTATTAAAACATTAAAAAAAGTAACTGAAAACTAACCAGAAAGAAATAAAACCAGCACAGAAAATCCTGTCAAATGGTTTAGTATCATGGAAGTGTATTGCTTAAGATTACTGATGCTTCAGTACTTCTTGTTCAGAGTCAAAGAGGCAGCAGGAGCTTTCCCAGCTCTTTGGGAAGAGAAGTTTGGCTGACCAACACAACACCGCTGAATTCCAGCCTCCTCATTTGACTTGGGGATTTTCTGTGCTGATCTAAACCACAATCTATTTTGTCACTTTACCTCTTGGATTTGGCTGAACCGCTTTGTTTTTCCGATTAATCCCTGGTTATGGTATTATGAGAGAAAACAGAACAAGCAGGTTAGGAAGCAACTCATGCAAATTCAGGCAAAATGATACATTTATGACCACAAATGTATTGTGAGGAGCACAATACAGCAGCTAACTGCTGCATGGTCAGTATTCCATGGTAGGTATTCCAAGCATTTTGTAAACAGGCAGGGCATTAACCCATCTATTTGCACCTAAATACAGCACAGATTAACTCTAAGGTCATACACATTGGACAGATGTGGTTACAACTTGTGGGCCAAGCCCACACGTTTGTAACCTGCAGTACACACAGTCACAAAGCTTTTCTCAGGGAAATAAGCAAAATACTCAGCTTAAAAGTATAGAATACACATTTTGTAGCAAGAGACTCTTGAATTCCCTCCTTCTTCCAATCCCACCCCTAAACTCTCTGCTTTTGAACACTGCCACAGGCTGACTGAGCTAAAATGCAAAGTTTCAGTCACCCACGTTGTTCTCCCCCACCCAACTCTGCTGGGCTGCCTGGGAAAAGTAGGAAAAGTCCAGGTAGAGGGGGGAATTCACTGGGAGCCAAAAAGGAGGAACAAACACTGGCTGGAGCACCTCCTGTATGAAGACAGGCTGAGAATGTTGGGGCTGTTCAGCCTGGAGAAGAGAAGCTGCATGGAGACCTCAGAGCAGCCTTCCAGTATCTGAAGGGGGGCTACAAGGATGCTGCAGAAGGACTCTTCATCAGGGAGCGACAGGACAAGAGGTGATGGGTTCAAACTGAAACAGGGGAAGTTCAGGTTGGATACAAGGACAAAGCTCTTTACTGTGAGGGTGGTGAGGCACTGGCAAAGGCTGCCCGAAGAAGTCGTAAATGCTCCATCCCTGGCAGTGTTCAAGGCCAGGTTGGACAGAGCTTTTGGGTGATAGGATCTAGTGTAAGATGTCTCTGCCTATGGCAGAACGGTTGGAACTGGATGATCTTAAGGTCCTTTCCAACCCTTGGAACCCAATTGTATGATTTTATGTTCAAACAAGGGTGTGTGTTGAGGCTAAAGATCTACCAGTGTTTTAAACTTAATCTGGCCAAACCAAGCCTGCCAAACTTCACACTTGTTAGTAGAACTGCACAAGCTAGAAAACTCAAGACTCATGCCATGGATTGCCTTCCCTTCAGTGTTACGACCTGCATGCCCTAACCTTCCCTGTTCACCTGCCTGAAGCAGGACACACACACATTCCATGATGTTGCAACCACTCCTGTTTTACGTTTCCACAGGTACTCACAGAGCAGCAGCACCAGAGATGATCTCAATAAGCTCCTTGGTAATGACGGCTTGGCGGGTACGGTTGAAAGTCAAGGTCAGTTTGTCAATCATTTCAGCTAGGAAAAATCAAGATTGGGATTTAAGGATGCAGTAACTATTTAAATACAGATAGGGAGAAGGTGTATGAAGGTGTTATGAAGTAGTCTTATAAATCCATGAAGGCAGTGAAGAGGCTTACTGCACTTTTCATTTTTTCTCCTATAGATAACACTCAATTTAGAAACTTGGCAATTTGGCTTGAAACATCAGAGTTAAACATCTGAAGAATATCTGATGGATAGTAAACACCATGGTATGACACAGCTTATTTTAACATAAGCATGCATTATTTGCCTTTAAATTAGATTTTACTGTCAATTAACTACATTGGGATTTCCTTCAAGTTACTGTGGCTTTGGCAAAAGGAAACAGATCTTTCTGAAGTGTTATTTCTGCATTTGTTTTTCTTGTAAACACAGGAGATATCACCTCTCTGTCAAGATAAGGCTGTCAGCAGAGAGCCACACATACAGTTCCAGATAGCCCAACTGCTCATCACACCAGCTCCGCTTGGTCATGAGTGTCCTTCAGGCAACACTGCCCTTCTTAAAGCTGAAATCTTCTCACAGCATGCCACATTAAAAGCTGTCTCCCACTAATACCAAATGCATACACCATGCTGCACCCAGCCTGGACACCTTCCAAGGAATACTTGTGAGAAGGACACAGAGCTGTTGGAGCAAGTCTAGAGGAAGCCATGAGGATGATCAGGGGCTGGAGCACCTCCCGTATGGAGACAGGCTGAGAACATTGGCACTGTTCAGCCTCGAGAAGAGAAGCGGTGTGAAGACCTCAGAGCAGCCTTCCAGCATCTGAAGGGGGCCTACAAGGATGCTCGCTCAAAGACTGACTCAAAATGGAACTGAGAGAAGAAACCAGCTAGTTTCTTACTATTTTGTACGCAAAGAATTATACAAAAGGAGGTCAGTACTCTCATGCCAAACTCCTGAAGTCGTGGGAGACCCATAGTGTGGACTTACAAGCATTCTTGCTAGCGTTGTCCATAGCAGTCATCCTAGCACTCTGCTCGCTGGTGGTGGATTCTTTCAGTGAGTAGTAGAGAATATTTGCTAGTGTAAATTCCTGGTAGTTTCTCAACACATCAGCATCAATATCATCATAGATACTTAGGCTTTCTGTAAAATAGGGAAGAGCAGATTGAAAGCAAGCTGAGATACACTACTTCTAGCAAAACAATACAACACCATGCAAAAGGCTGCTAGGCCAGCCTGCTTCTCTACTTCAGGCAATCCAGAGGGATCTTCTCCACACATTCTGTGTACTTTCATATTCTCTTTGCTATTAAAATTTTTGTTAAGTTTTTTATGTGGTTTAATTTAGTTTAATACTCAGAAAATCAGATTCTGACCAAGGCCAAATACATGACTGACACATTATGTTTAATCTTCCCATGCAGTGCTGCAGAAACATTTTGGGGTGTTTTTACTGAGTTAGTGCAAAGTCACTACAGTGCTGAAAACACTGGAACCGACAGAGTTCTGCATATGCACAATTCTTGCTTGAGAAAGAATCTCAAACCAAGATTAGTACAACCTTTCATTTTAACCTCACAGCACCTTAGTAAGTCAGCTCTGGGCTGCCAAGATAATACAATTTGTTCAACTTATACTACATGCATTGTATAATTAATACTATATCCATTACACACACCTATTATTAATACCAATTATTAATATCATATTCCCATGTTCAGAGTACTCTCTCTGTGATTTATCACTTAACTGCTGGTTTCTAGTTCACTACTTACCAGAACCAGCAACTGTTTCAAAGGAGAAGATTGGTTTTTCATCAGTCTTGTAGGAGATGACAGACCTGGATAAAAACAGCATCTTCAGTTCAACTGATCCTAAATGGAGAGCTTAAAATCGAATCAGGAGAGGCAGCTTCTGCACCCCCAGTTCCACAAAGTTCTGTGATAATCCTGATGAAGAGATCTCAGAAACAACATTGATATAACATGCTGACTGTAAATGTAATGTAAAAAGAGAATTCCGCTCCCAGCTCTCACAAAACAACAACCAACAGCTCTTCACACACAAAAAGCACTCACTCAAGAAATAAACATGACAAGTCAGCCAGTTTTCATATTATTTCATCAGGCCAATGTGCTCTCTGAAGCCTTCTACCCAATGTTTTTCCAGTGCAGTCCCAATTTAATCTTACCTGAACCGATTGTAGATGACTGAACCCTCATCAAATTCATAGCCAGAGTTTAACAGCTCCAATGCAATGGCTGAGGCATCTCCAAAGCTTGGAGGTCTCCGTCCCACCTCTTTGAATGTCAGCAGGAAGTAATTGCCATGTGTCCTGCAGGAACATCAGATCTGTCTTAGAAGCAAGTGGATGCTCTAATGTACAACATGTGGTAGCAAGATTTACTTCCATTAAATACAATCTCCTCTGAATGCCACACAGCTTTCTAAGAAGTCTTGACATTTCTACCACAGAATACAAATAAAACCACCAAACCAAACTCTTCTGGGGGTTTGGGACCCATCCTTTTTACCTCTGAAGGAGGCCTCTGATCTTGTCACCAACTCCAACCACCATAACTTCTTTTCCTGCGTTTGAGAGGTTGGTAATCTCATTCTTCAAAGTTTTAGCAATAGATGTATGGATAGCACCACACAGGCCTCGGTCAGAGGACACACCAATAAGGAGGTGCTTCTTCTTGTCCTCAGGTGCCTTTATTTCTGCTTTCTCATAGAGAGCTAGAAAAGAAAAGATGGTTAAGTTTTTAAGGGTGCCAAGAAGCAAACAGGTCACAGCAAAACACCTCTGAATTATTCTAATTAAAACCATTTCTAAAGGGGCTCCAAATCTCAGTCAGATGAATTTTATCTCCCTCACATTCATTCAGGTTTGCACATGACCTGACCAGAGGTGACAGTTCAAAACCAGCCATGTTTCTGACTGGGTATCACACAACCCATGTCACGACTTAGTTAAGGTCACTGTGTTGAGACCAGTGCATCAGAAGCATGTGCAGACCTGGAGTTCAGAAGTAAGCCAGATACTCTGAGCTGTGGTGCTCTAATAAGTGACAAAACCAACCATGCAACCACCCAAAGTTAAAAACATAATCAGAAATCATCATGATTTGGGGATGAGTTAATAATGCTTGGAGGAGAGTGGCTGGAGAGCTGCTTGGTGGAAAAGGCCCTAGGGGTGCTGACTGACAGAGGTGAACATGAGCAAGCTTATGCCCAGGCAGTCAAGAAGGCCAATGGCATCCTGGCCTGTATCAGCAGTAGTATGGCCAACAACAGGGACTGTGCCCCTGTACTGGGCACTGGTGAGGCTGCACCTTGAATCCTGTGTTCAGTTCTGGGCCCCTCACTACTAGAGGGGCATTGAGGTGCTGGAGCGGAGGCAGAGAAGGGCAATGGAGCTGGTGCAAGGCCTGGAGCACAAGTGTAATCAGGAAGGGCTGAGGGACCTTGGGGGGGTTTAGTCTGGAGAAGAGAAGGCTCAGGGGGACCTTATCACTCTCCACAATTATGTGCAAGGAGGAAGGAGTCAGGAGGAATCTGGTCTCTGCTCCCAAGGAACAAGGGATGGCACAAGAGGAAACGACCTCAAGCTGCACCAGGGCAGGTTTAGATGAAGCTGAGGAACAATTCCTGCCCCAGAGGGTGCTCAGGCATTGGAACAGGCTGCCCAGGGCAGGGCTGCAGGCACCGTCCCTGCAAGTGCTCACACACCGTGGAGATGAGGCCTCAGTGCCATGGGTTAGTGGTGGCCTTGGCAGTGCTGGGGAATGGTTGGACTGGATGAGCTTAAACGGTTGATTCTATGATTCTGTGAATTTCACATTAGAACTCTAAAAATTCACTTTCTGTTAACTACTTATAAGGAATGCTCAGGGTGGCCTAGAGATGCAAACCCTTTTGGGAAAAAACTACTGAAAGGTTAAAAGTCTAGGCCTTTCATCACCCCCATGAAAACCTTTTTCTTCTGCTCCCATAGCACCAGTCTTCTCTCACCCAGTGCTCCCATTCCATAGATCCTGGCAGGCTTCAGCTCCCTCTCAGCTCTTGCGTATTTTGCTGCAGAAACCATCTTCATGGACTTTGTAATTTTCTGAATGTTCTTGATAGACTTCAAACGCCTGGTAACTACAAGGTTAAGAGTTGAAGGTCATGGGCTATACTTATACTGGGTATAAGGACATCATAGCCAAGCAATCAAATGCTAGCAATCGCCATTCAAAAGTATCTGGCCACGTTCCCCATAGAAGAAAAAGTAAATAAACAATGCACAAATAAACCTCAATAAAGACCTTAGTATTTACAGTAAGAAAGCCGTAAGAGAGTCATCTGGCTAACCCAAATGCATCTTTACAATGGATATGTTTTTCCTCCAGAGATAAGTGTCATTTAATAGTTAGCCCAACATATTCTCTTTCCTTCCACTTCTACCTGTTTCACAAATGTATCATTTGAGGAGCACTGTCATCTTTTTCCCAGATGACAAGGACAGGAAACAAACAAGCAAGACGCCATAGTATGAAGATTCAGAATAAACTTCCTCCTCTGCTTAGACTGTGGCAAAATGACACTCACAGAAATACTGATGCAGAAAAGAAAGCAAAACAGGTGTTCTACTGACAAGCACAATTCCAAGGCAATATCCCTGTAAAAGAACCTATGAAGAACAGCTAAATGAAGTATTATCCCATTCAGTCAACCTTTTTTTCCCTCCAAATGCTGCTTAAAAGGACAAGCAAATAAACATAAGAAACATTAATTCTTAAAGGTGACCAAAATGCAGTTTAGCACAGGGGACAAGGTTATTTTGTGAACAAAAAGGTTTGCTTGTGTAAAACTATACTGTTTGCTGAAATGCCACTTCAGTCACTGCTAAAACCTTTTAGAGCAATGCCTTTTCTGAAGGACATTTGTTCAATACCAGACATGCTCATGGATCAACATTATGGTGTATCACAATGAATTTATTCAACAGATAACTTGTATTTTAACTTCGGGCTTTCCTGCAACACTTCCCCTCTCTCAGAAGCAAACAAAACCAGTACTCACTGTCTTTCAGAGTTGCCATATTCCTGACTTGCCCCCTGAAAATGAATAGGAGAGATATTAGGATAGTTCACTGGTCCTGCAGCAAACCAACCCCTGCCAAGGGCAGGTGCCTTCGAGAGGGATGAAACCTTTAGAGCTGCTGCTTCTTAGAAAGCACCTATGGCAATGACAAGCTGCTCTAAGCCGTGCATTGCACACATGGCTTCCATCCTTCTCCTCACCTTCTACATCATTTCGTGCATTACTACTGCCTCAAGCACAGTGTAAACGAGGGCCAGCTAACAGGGCATCAAAAGGGTACATGAACTGGGTTTATTAACGATTAAAACGAAGCAGAGACGGAAGCAGCACTTCCCGACAGAAGCAGGGTCTCCTTGCACACCCCGTCACACACGGCGCCGTCCTTTCACCCTTCCTGCCCCCACACATCCCCTTTCCCTGCCATCGCCCGCCTCCCCTCGCCCACCGGCAGAGCTGCGGCTGGGCACGGGCACGGCTCCGTCCCCCGCAGGCCACTGGGGAGCCCGTTCGCCCTCACCCTCACCGCCACCGCTCCTCCCGCCACACCGGAGCCCACAGACACCTCAGGGGCAACCCCGCCGCCCCCGGCCGAGGGAAGCCTCACCCCTCACCCCCCAAGGCCGCTCCGCCGCCGCTACCGCCGCTACAACCACTACCGGAACGCACCGCACGTCCCCACAAAGCCCTTCGCACCCCTCCCGTTACCATTGCGGCTGGTAAAGCGCGACCGCAGCCCCGCGGGCGAACATGGCGGCGCCTTCCCCACAGCCCCGATGAAGGTCAGCGGCCGCGCAGCCGCGCCGGGAGGGGGCGGTAAGTGCTTCCGGGGCCGCCGCTTCCGGCGGGGCCGGTACCGGGCCGGTGCCGCCCCAGGGGTTGTGTCGGTTTCCGCCATGGGGAAGTCGGATTTCCTCAGCCCCAAGGCCATCGCCAACCGCATCAAGTCCAAGGGGCTGCAGAAGCTGCGTTGGTACTGCCAGATGTGCCAGAAGCAGTGCCGCGATGAGGTGAGCCCGCCCCGGTGGTGGCGGCAGCTGGGCCTGTGGTGGCGGAGAGCGGCGGGCCCCGGTTCTTCACGGGGTCTGGCGGCTCTGTGCGGGGGGAAATGGGGGCTTTGACCCGCTTGTAGGGGATCTTTGTGGGGGGTGGGTGTCCCGCAGATAAACAGCGGCTCGGATCTCTTCGGCTGGGGTTCTCAGACCCCTTGCGGGGGCTACCAACTGCCATGTAAGTGTCCCTAGTGCTGTTGAGGGTGGCACGGGGGGGCTGGGATCGCCCTTGTAAGGGTCCCTAATTCTTTTGTAGGGGATGCGATTGCCTTAGGGGGTATGGGAGCTCATCGCCGCTTTGTGCGTTTCCCAGTTCCCTCGCCAGGGGGATACAGGCTGGCTCAGCTTCCTCATGGACGTGTCCGCGGTTGCCTTGCGGGGGCTCTGATTCCATCTGTGCGGTGTGAGACTTGGAGGGAACATCCTGGTTTCATTGCTGGAGCATGGGGAGGCCTGACTCTCTTTAGGGGAGCACTGGAGAGGGTCCTTATTCTCTTCTGGGGGTCCCCAGTGCCTTTTGTATGGATCATGGTCCCCTTGGGGGCAGGTTGGTGGAAGCTGGAGGGTTTCTAATTGCTGGTTGTAGGTGGATTGGTCCGGTTGGATCCCAGATCTTCCATGGGAGAAACCCTCATCCACTTTGGAGAAAGTGTGTTGACCCTGGCCCACATTTAGGGACATTCAGGACATGGAACTGTTGGAACAAGTCCAGAGGAGGCCACGAGGACGATCAGGGGCTGGAGCACCTCCTGTATGAAGACAGGCTGAGAAAGTTGGGGCTGTTCAGCCTGGGGAAGAGAAGCTGCGTGGAGACCTCAGAGCAGCTTCCAGTATCTGAAGGGGGGCTATAGGGATGCTGGGGAGGGACTGTTCATTAGGGACTGTAGTGACAGGACAAGGGGTAACGGGTTCAAACTGAAACAGGGGAAGTTTAGATTGGATATAAGGAAGAAATTCTTTCCTGTGAGGGTGGTGAGGCACTGGAATGGGTTGCCCAGGGAGGTTGTGAATGCTCCATCCCTGGTGGTGTTCAAGGCCAGAGGACAGAGCCTTGGGTGCCATGGTTTAGTGTGAGGTGTCCCTGCCCATGGCAGGGGGATTGGAACTGGGTGATCTTAAGGTCCTTTCCAATCCTAACTATTCTATGATTCAGTCCCTTGCAGATTGATCAGCCCAGGGTTGGGGGGGAGCAAAGGGTGGCCCTAAACTTCTTGGAGGGGTGATTTCATCATACACGCATTGAGAGGTTGATAGGGTTAAGAGTTAAGTGGCTTCCATCTGCCTTAGAGGGGAGTTGAGGGTAGCTGTGATCTACCTTGGGGACAGGGTGAGTGCAGTGACATGCCCAAGGGAATGGACATCTGAAGCACTATGAGGGTTCTTCATAGAATGGTTTGCATCGGAAGGGACCTTAAAGCTCATCCAGTTCCAACCCCTGCCATGGGCAGGGACCCCTTCCACTGGAGCAGCTTGCTCCAAGCCCCTGTGTCCAACCTGGCCTTGAACACTGCCAGGGATGGGGCAGCCACAGCTTCTCTGGGCACCCTGTGCCAGCGCCTCAGCACCCTCGCAGGGAAGAGCTTCTGCCTTTTATCTAATATAAATCTACCTTTTTTCAGTTTAAACTCATTACTCTTATAAAAAGCCCCTCTCCAGCATTCTTCTAGGCTCCTTCAAGTACTGAAAGGCCACAATAAGGTCTCCCTGAGCCTTCTCTTCTCCACGCTGAGTGTCGTGGTTTAAACCCAGTCAGGTAATTTGTTCGCTCACTTCCCCCCCTTTTCTTGCCCTCCCCCTGCTCTCGGAGGGACGGAGAGGAGAATCGAAAAGAATGCAACTCCCACGGGTTGAGATAAGAACAGTTTAGTAACTAAGGTATAACACAGATCACTACTGCTACCACCAATGATAACAATGATAAAGGAAATAACAAGGGAAGAGGATACATCATCTCACCACCAGCCGACCGATAACTAGCCCCCCAAGCCCGACCAAGCTCTGACCGATACCTCCTCCAACCCTGCAGTCTCCCAGCCCTTCCGGCTAACTCCCAGTTACCTCCTGGGCATGACGTGCTGTGGTATGGAATACCTCTTTGGTCAGTCTGGGTCAGGTGTCCTGTCTCTGCTTCCTCCTGGCTTCCCCTCCTCCCTGGCAGAGCATGAGGCTCACAAAGTCCTTGGCCAAACCAAAACATCCTTGTTATCAGCTCTGTTCCCGAGCTGAAAGTCAAAACACTGCACTACACCAGCTACCAAGGAGGAGAAAAATGACTGCTACTGCTGAACCCAGGACACTGAGTGAGTCCAGCTCTCAGCCTGCCTCCAGAGCAGAACTGCTCCAGCTCTCTAATCAGCTCCTTCGGACCTGTGCCAACAGGACCATGTCTTTTTTGTACAGATGACTCCATTCAGGTCTTCCATCTTTCTCTTTTCCATCTTCTCTCTTTCTTCTGTTGTAAAGAGTTGCTTTTCCTCTGAAGCTTCCCCCTCATGTTTTTGCTTGTCTGTTTACTTGGACCCAGATGCCTATGGGATGTGAGTGTCCTTCCTGATTTCCACCAGAGTTGTGCTCCAAAAGTACCTCCACTTTAGGTAACTGTGCTTTTAGTGAATAGCCTCTGGGATGAGACTTAGAGAAATAAAGCATCTTGTGCATAATTGTATTGTTCTCCAGCTGTTTTTGTCCCCTCTTCTTTTCACTGAAGAACCTCGGATTCTGTTCTCTTCCCAGTGACTATGAGCCAAAAAGCTTCACTGTTCTATGACCAGATCTTTTTGTAAGATGGGGCAGGGCTCCCATGGAATGAAATTTGCTGTGGATTTAATCATATTATAATGAAAGAACATTAAATCAGACAAAAAAAGGATGCAGCCAAAGTCCTATGTCTGGGTGGTTTTTGGTGAGCTCTGATGACTTCAACCCTTTGCCAGAGGTGGTCAGACTGCCACAGGCCCTTGAGTGGTCCCAGGACACCATCCTCTACTTGCACACATTTGGTGGTAGTGTTGGTCAGGTAGGAAGCCAACAAACATATGGAGTGCTCTTGCACAAGTGCCTGAATGGGTCCCAGGTGGACCTCGAAGGTGCAGTGGTCTATTCCATTCCACAAGAGATGAGGAGAACTGCTGGAATGTCCTCTCATTCTTGTCTGGAGTCTCTTGGGCTTGGGAGGAGTTTGGTTCTGGCTTGCCTGGTCAGGAGGAACACCCACCCCATCATAGGCTCTTTTCTCTGTGTAGCCTCCAAGGAATTTTGCTTGCAAAGCTTTATTTTAAGTACTGGTCAGCTGTGTGTGAGTATTGCAAATAGAGACAAAACTGGGCAAAGTCTTTATTTTTATTTTATAGAATGGCTTCAAATGTCACTGCATGTCTGAGTCCCACCAGAGGCAGTTGCTGCTGGCTTCTGAAAATCCTCAGCAGTTCATGGATTACTTTTCTGAGTAAGTCTGCTGTATATCCGTACCCAGATCTTCATTGCTGTATCAGATCTGCACAGCCACACTGCTAAGGCCCGGGCATGTCCCACTGAAGACACTTTATTTTGATGTCACCCTTCTGTCCCAGCAAGGTGACTGCCCCAGCATGAGTTACAAAGAGCTAAAAGAGCCATTACAGAGAGATAACAAGTGAGTAGTGTGACTGACATCCCAGTTTCCCCCAGTCCTTTGTCCAGGTGACCAACAGGACAGCTGGGTTGACTGGAGCTGTCTTCAGCACGAGTCTGAAATGAGGCTTTATTCTCAAGCCCTTGAATGAGCAGCAGGATGAGTGATCAACCTGCCTCATCTGCCACTGCTGCCCTTTGTGTTTTGTGTCAGTCAGCCTGGGGAGAGAACTGGTAATGAAACACCAGCAATTAGCGGGAAGTGTTTAGATTTCCTTCCTTCCATTTTATCCCTTTGAAAGGCTTTTACCCTTTTGAAGATTTAACTTGTATGTGCACGTACCACGTTGTGTTTCTTTGTGCATACACACTGCATTTAATGCTGCTTTGCTGAAAAAGGGAAGTGAGTGGCTGAGCTTCATCATGCTCAGTTCGAAAGAATGCTCATGTTTATACTGCAGATCTTTATTTGGGAATGACAATAGAAAAATGCTTTGTAATTGTTAAACTTTTACTAAAATACTTTCTTTTTATCCCTAAAGGGAATTCCGAAATGATTTCCTCGAGCTGCTCAGGAGGAGATTTGGTAAATATTGTCCTGTTTGCTTACTTGATCGTTTTCTAATGTCTTTTATTGGTTCAGTGCAAGAGTTTTGGTTGCTTTATTGCTTTATCCTAAATCCCACACTTAGATTTAATAACAACCACCACAGCAACAATAATAACAATAATTCTGTATTTCAGGAACAAAGAGAGTCCACAATAATATTGTGTACAATGAATATATCAGCCATAGAGAACACATCCACATGAATGCCACACAGTGGGAGACTCTGACTGATTTCACTAAGTGGCTGGGGAGGGAAGGTAAGTGCAGTTGCTTACTTGGGGAGTGAGCAATTTGCTGATAATTGATCAGTAAATGTTTAGGTTAATTCTTCTATTTCCTTTTCCTTTCTTCCCTTCCTTTCCTGTATATATGCATATATATATTTATATATAGATATCCAAACACATTTCTGTGCTAACCATTAAGAATTTGCTTATGTAAAATGCCAGCAGTCTGTGATAAATGCATCAGTCTTGAACCTTTCTCATTTCATCTATTGTCTATATTTACTGTAGGGAATTGCTCCATCCTAAATCAACTTCCAACAGTTGCCATTTAAAATTAACAACTATCATAGAACATTTCTTATGACTTACAGAATCCCTCCATGTTTAAGGTGAAGAGGACCAACAGTCATTTTCATACCTGCCTTAATGAAAGGGTTAAAGCTTGAGATCTGCAGTTTTGTGTTCAGTGGGAGGAAGAGATATTAAATGGCACTGTGGTATGACAGCAAGTTTACTTTGGCACTGATTGCCTCTGTCCTACAGGATACATTCATGAGTCATACAGTGTTTGGAAAGTCACTCAAGCCTGAGTTAGTAACAATAACGAAGCCTAGTAATGTTTCCTTTAGTATGATGCTATTAGTGTGTATTGTTTATATATGTTAGATTTCTGTTTTCTTCCTTGTTAAAACAGTGGGAAGGAAACATTTTCTTCAATGAGGAAGTATTGAAAAACACTCCATCCACTCTGTGCTCTGGCCTGTTTCCAAATAGAACTGGCTAGCTGAAGGGCTGGAATCCCAGGCTGGAAGGGCCCTCAGGGATCATCTGGTCTGACCTTTCTAGGCAAAGCATGACCTAGACTAGATGTCCCAGCACCCTGTCCAGCTGAATCTTTAAAGTGTCCAGTGCTGGGGAATACACTACTTTCCTGGGGAGATTATTGCATCATCTCTTTGGCCCTTTCCTGGACCCTCTCCAGCCTGGTCACAGCTTTTTTGCACAGTGGGGAGCAAAACTGCACAAGTATTCCATGTGTGGCCTGATAGGCACTGAGTAGAGTGGAACAATGACATCTTTATCTCTGCTGGTGATGCCCTTGTTGATGCTCCCAGCATCCTGCTGGCTTTCTTTGCCACAGCAGTGGACTGTTCACTCATATTGAGCTTGTGTCCCCCAGGACCCCAGGTCCCTTTCCACAGAGCTGCTCTTCAGCTGGGCAGATCCCAGCCTGTGCTGCATTCCTGGATAGTGTTTTCCCAGGTGCAAGACCTTACATCTGTCCTGTTGAACTTCATAAAGTTCTTGTTAGAGCATTCTTTCAGCCTACCAAGGTCTTCCTACAGCGGGTGATCTCCCTTCCAAAGTGTCCACTTCACCATTCACTTTGGTACCATCTGCAAACTTTGTCAGGTTCATTTGATCCCATCGTCCAGGTCATTTATGGTGACATTAACCCATGGGGGACCCCACTAGGGGCAGATCACCGGAGCTACTCACCACCACCCTTTGGTGTGGGCTGTCAGTCAGTTTCATCAGGTCAGTAAGGGGTGCATTGTCTTTGGTGAAGTATCTGCATTGTTGTAATGAGCATCAGCTGTGAAAATGATCTTGATTCTTTCTTTGTCTCTTGCTTGCTTTTGTTAGTATTAATCTTACTTTATCTTACGTTGACTTTTAGGTCTTTGCAAGGTGGATGAGACTCCAAAAGGCTGGTATATCCAGTATATTGACAGGGACCCAGAGACTATTCGCAGGCAACAAGAGCAAGAGAGGAAGAAGAAACAGGACCTTGATGATGAAGAAAAAACTGCAAAATTCATTGAACAGCAAGTTAGAAGAGGTTTGGAGGGGAAAGAAGTGGTGAGTAAAATTGTGTGTCTGTCAACCTTCAGCTGAAAACTCCTCTTGGTTAATTTAATGGTGATTTATGCTCCTGGGATCCTGGCATTCGTACTTCCTTTGCAGTCAGTTAGAAGGTGGTGAGTAAGCTTTAGGTTACAAAGTCATCACCAGTTCAAGATGAGGAGCAGTGGGCATATTTGGCTGCATTGCTGTTCTTTCCTAAGCCACAAGGAATATTTTTCTCCTTCTGATAGCAGCCTTGACTAACTTGTTTCTGTTAAAATTGCACCTTAGTGTATTTCTTTGACTAACCAACTTGCTGGTGGTTTTTACAGCTGATGAACAGCAAGGTCCTCTGGAATCACAGTTTCAGAAATAAAAGGAAGCAGAAGTTTCAGGTCCTTTTAGATTTGATGTGATTTTGAAATCTGTTAGAATTCTATCCTGTGGCCCTAGTGTCTGATCCTGGCCATTTTGGACTTTGATTTAGACCATCTTCTTGCATATTTGAATCAGCACATCCATTCGGTTACGTTCTGAATTTTCTGCTCTACAGTAATCTTGGATTATAACCTGCTCTGGAGGAAAACTGGACCTGGCTTGCTTTAGTATTAAAGGAATAATAACTACTGCTCTTCCAGTGATTAGGGATTTAAAAGTCACTCTTGTATTTAAGAAGGGAGAGTAAACAATACAGTAACCAGTGTGTTATGTATTCATTTATGGTATTTCACAGCTTTTAGGGCTGCAAATAACAAGTACCCTGTACAGTGGGGAGACTGAGAGAAATAACCAGGGAGATCTGGAATAATCGAGTCCACATAGTGAAAAGTTTCCCTTTGATAGTGCTGATGTGGTATTTGGGATCTATTGGGTGTCATTCCACGACTTCCATACAAGTTGTTGCCTGGAGCTGGAACCTCCCATTTGATCCTGTCTATTGATAGGTACATTTAAATGCTGTTGTAAACAATTATCTTTTTCTTAATTTCAAACTAATTGAAATTTAAATGGTCTGAGCCTTCAGTGCTAAAAATTTGGAAAGATTCCAGAGTTTCCTTCTTGGAGTTCTCAGTCTGTCCAGGAACCGTTCTGATCATGCTGATTCCAATGGGGCAAACTGCTGCAGTAAGGCCACTTTCATGCTGGAATCCAGCAAGCTTAGATAGCTTCTTTGCAGAGAGTGTTAATCAGAGAAGTTTGCACAGGAACCTGTGATGAGATAATGTTCCAGTTTATAATCTCCTGTGAATCAAGACAGGTTGAATATTGCACGTACTTGTCATAATCTCACAGTATGTAAAACTGAGTTAATCAATCATCACCACTAAATGATACCCCAGCTCAGCTTTCTGCTTGACTCTTGAAATGTGTTTTGTGGTTTATTTTGGCAGGAGAAGCCAGTCTATACTGAACTGAACAGAGAAAACGATGAAGAAAAAGGTAAGCAGGTTTTGAGCTATGCCATTTTCTAGAAGCTACTGAAGCTGATCTTGTGATTAAAACAAGATGAGCACTGGAGCCTGCTCATAAAGTAGCTTGAGATCTGTTCTAAAGAGCACTGGAATATGGAAATACAGAGTATTCTCTCTTCTAAAGTGTAAAGTAATTTATTTTGAAAGCTGAACTAAAATGGCTAAATGTTTTCAAATTGCTCATCTTTTCCATTTGCAGATTTTTATAACTGTAACATCCTTCAATGCAGTTATTTTTAAAGATAGAAATAGAGTAATTTCTTTTTATTTTGTAGTTGCATTTAATTTAAACAAAGGAGCAAGTACTTCAATAGCTGCATCTTCTAAAACAAGGTGAGAAAAGTATTTAAGGGCAACCCTGTGTTGCAAAGCACTTACATGACAATGATATTTGTATGGGCAGGAAGGGGTTTCTTGTCCTGAAATACTTGGAATTTAATCTCTCATCCTGTCATGTTATTCAGGAGGGGTACAAGGTGACTTCATGGTTTCTTTTGTATTTAAAATGGGTAAGTGGGTATATCTTAAACGTGTGCTATGAGGAGCTTTCTTGAATTCACTGTGGTTCACGGCAGATGCCTGTGAAGTATTAGGTAGTTATTGAAAACACTGTTATGTGAAAGGGTGTATAAGGGATCCAGTCAAAGCGCTTGAAGTGAATGCCATCTAGTCCCAGCTGCCTTTTATGAATGGGTATTCATGACTTGTTAATTTTGGTTCCTAAGAGGGCTGATTGCCTTGTCTAATTGGAGTCAATATTCTTTCTGATCATCACTTAAGAAGCTGAATCTCCCTGATGTAAATCTTTCTACAGCTCATGAATTTAATTGCCTTCATATAACCACAAACAATGCAGGACAAAAGGGATCAATAATACAAACAATACTGACTTACAGCAGTCTGTGAAGCTATTTAATGAGCAGTACATCTTTTCATGTGAGGCAATACTGCAATTAAATGTATTGCGGGTAAAAAGAAAGCTTTCCTCTCCCCACAAGCTCAGCTCTTAGATAAGGCATCTGATGGGAGATACGCCACAGAGAAAATGAGACAATAAAGTAGTTCTTTGCAATACTAGATACAGATTTCAGGCTTTGAGGAAAACTTACAAATTATCCCTAAGCATTGATTTGTGCTTAAGATGAATCTGAAACTTAAGTCAGACACTCGCTTGAATAGTTTTGGTGAGGAATACTTAAGGTGCTTGCTAAAATTTGGCTGAAAGTGAAATCATATATCAAGTAGTCTTAATTTTTTCATAGCATATGAGATATACTTGACTGTAAACTTCATAATGGTAACATGGAAGCAAAATCAGGATATGTACTTTAGTAAAGTGACTGGTCAGTGTGTCACTGGTGATGCAGGCATCACTTCAGAGTCATGTATGGAAACTACTTCCCAGTGTCATTCTAAAGGTTGTTCTGCAGCTGTTGACTGTTACTGAGGATCAGCTGAGTGCAACCTGGTGGCCAGTACTCCAGCACAGTGTACAGAAGGAATTCCTGACTTCCCAGCTCCCAGCACAAGCTACAGAAACCTGGCACTTGTATTTCTTGGGCAGGGTGCAGAAATAGCACCAGGAGATGGTAGGTAGCGGATGGGGGAGTGTTGAGGGCATGGGGATACTGGTAGTTGGGTACAGAAGTGAAGTTGGAGCCTCCTGAGAAGAGGATTGAGAGTGCAGGTGCCTCCCCATAAACATCCGTGTGTCTGACATGAAGATAGAAGTCACCGATGCTGCTGTGGGCACAGCTTCCAATGCTGACTGCCCTTGAGCAAATGGGGAGTCCTGGGCTTACATTTTTTCCCCTCAAGAATTTATATCCTCAAATCCCTACTTAACTCAGTGGACAAGTAAGATTGAGATTCCTAGTTAAGGAATGAGCAAAAAGCTACTATCAAGGTCACAGACTTCTGTCTGCAGTGCTGCAAGTGTACCAGTGTACAGTCCTGTCCATATATTGATGATGTTCCACTGTATGCAGTTAGGATCTCCCCAGCTGTATAATCCCAGGGCAAGATCCTTCAAAATGTGATTTGCTTTAATGGTTAGGACCTTGCCTGTAATTTCCCAGGTAGATGTATGTGGTCTGGCCAGTTTCTACCAGTTGCTCTCATGTTGGTGTGGGGTTTTTAACATAAATAGTTATTTTTCTCCCTTTGTTTGCTTTCTCAGGCAACACATTTGAGAACAGTTTTAGCCTCTGCACCTTCACTGTGCTGTGTAAAGAGGCCTGGATGGTGCTGCCCTTACCTCCCCATTCCCCTGATCCACTGAACATCCCTTGTGCTTGTTCCAGTTTCAGCTAATCTTGAACAAGGGAGCTGATTGAATTCCTGTATGCTGCGAATGAAATGTCTTATACAGGACACTAACGCTTGTCTGTCTTGGTGCTTCCTGGGATTGCACTTTACTCTTTCATGACTGGTTCACACTGGTAGCTGTCATCTGTGATGGTAGCCAGACCCCTTGCTGCCTTTTTTGCTCTTAAACAGCTCCCAGTAGATAGAAGGGAATCAGAGTAAACTTTTCCAAAGCATATGAGCTTGCATAATGTGCTGTTGGATTTTGTGGGGTTTAAAGCATGCTTTTCAAGGTAAACCAGTCCCTTCTGGTGTCCAGTTCTTTTTTCCTGTCCTCCATATCAGTAACATGTCCCAAGAGTGTTGGTGGTCTCACCCTCTTTGTCCCAGGGTCCTTAATGAATATATTAAATAAGATTTGGTTTAGCTTTAGCACCCAAGAATCTCTTAGTAACCTCACAGCAAGATGCATTTGCTTCTTAAATATAGGCACAGCAGTTGTGTTTTAATCATATGTCACCCTTGATGAGATGTTATTTTAAGTACTTGCTATTGGAGTTTTGATTTAATGTGCTATTTCTTTTAGAACTCTTTTGTGGAGATTATCCAGACTTCCTCTGAAATACAATTTTTCCCTCTATCTTGCTTCTGCTGCCATTTCTGTATCTTTATTCCCATTACATGTCTTCCCTTTGCTAATACATCCAACATGCTCACCACAAGCAGAACATGCTCTTTGTTGTAAGGCCATGTTAACTATTACCTTCCTGTCAAACTGAGCAGCCTCCATCTTTCTTGGTGAGAGAACACCTACGTTTTTTTTATCTGCATTCAAATGTCTTTTATAAAAATAGCTCAACTCAGGCTGCCTTCAGGCAGTTCTTACTTCACCCAGATGTTCCCTGATCCCTGATATGGACCTTTTTGTGCTGATGGCTCTTTTCTTCCATAACTTACAGGCTGTTTGCCTATTGAACTTGATGGTGAAGGTGGTGTTTATTTGCTGGGTGTGGAGTCCTTTTCTACAGGTTCCCGTGCGTTCTCTCCCGTTGCTGGATAGGTTAAGTATCTGTATGGAAGGAGTTCTAGATGTCTACCATGTTTGAGAGTTGCTTTGTCCAGGTGGCTTTTCCAAAGCCACAGGTTTATCCTTTCAAATTTGAAAACCTTATTTGCAGACCTGATTTTGCCTTCTCCATTGAGCTCAAGTTCCCGACCAACTCTTTGCTTTTGCACCGGTGGATCAGTAGGTTTTCATGCTGCTGGACTGCTAGCAGCAGACATCAGTGGACACAGAGCGTACATCTCAAGGAGATAATTTCTAGCTGTCAAATGCAGTCCTAGAGAAGGAGGCATGCAGGGTCTGGAAGGTGACTTGCACAACTGAAGTTAAATAGATCAGCAGGCCTTTTTGCACAACCACTTCTTCAGATGCATCTTGGTAGAGGAAGCAATGTAAGATCTGCTGTGAAAACACCATCTTACTGTTCCAACAGTGGCCTTGGACCGAATGCACTGAAGATGGTGGAAGGGGCAGTTAAAAGGAAAGAATCAGCTCATAGCTCTGGTCAGTCCAAAGAGAAAAAGAAGAAATCTGCACTGGATGAGATTATGGAGGTAATAAGCATGCAGGATCTGTGTCTTTGTAACCCTGTGCCTATGGCAATGTCCACTGTACCTTTGAAGTGCCCTCAGACCTTCAGTTCAGGAGGAATTCAGACTGTTGTATCTTATCAGGCAAAATGATTTCACTTCCTCACTAAAACTGCTTTCTGCTGCTCATCTGTGCCTATTCCCCAGATGACTGAGATGTTGGAAGTAAAGGAATACAGATTTTGGAAGAAAATATCTAGAAACACTTGACAAACCCCAGATATAAATCTCCATCATTTTATCGTGGATTCCTGGATCTCATCAGGTTGATTTTTATGCAGCAAGCACACACTGACTTGTGACTTACCCTTATTTAGTTTGTTGGGGTTTTTTATTCTCCACTTGATGTGGGCCTGGAGAATTGGTTCAGCTTTTCAAAGCATGGGAAAGCTGCAGTGAAAGTAAATGGTGAATATTTATTGTTCTGTAGCTTGAAGAGGAGAAGAAAAGAACAGCTCGGAGAGACTACTGGTTACAGCCTGTAAGTGCCTTAAAATTATTATTGTACCAAATAGAACCACTTCTGCATCTCTAAAACCTCTTGATTTGTGTAAAGATCCAAAGGTGGATTCCAAACTGAATTAACTCTTATTTTCCAAGCTGACAAATGTGCAGTATTACAGTATGTCTCCTGGTTGAGCACAATCTGCAGTCTGAAGCATTGTATGCCTGATCTCAGATGGGGTGGCATTCTCTGATTAAAGAGTTGGTACTGTGAGTCTCTAAAGATCATGTTTAAATCATGATATTACTCACAGCCCTCTTCTTTCTACCTGAGAGTTGACTTGCACAGAGGTGCAGAAGTCACATCAGCCTTTTGAGAGACCTCATCTCAGCTTCTACTTATTGACTGGGCATCTAGATCAAGAAGTCCTGTCCTTGACCCACTGTTACAGTAACTGTCATGTTATAGCCTGAATTCAAGTGTACCTGTAGTTATGAAATAGAAAAGTCTTGAGATGCTACTTTGAGGCAATAATTTGAGCATAAAGATCTGTTCCTGAAAGCAGAGTCTTTACTGTCATTGCTTCCTGTGCTGTGCAGTCTGTGGTTGGAGTCAGAGCGACCTTAATGTGCCATTAGTTGAGAGTGTGTACGTTTTTGTGTGTTCTGGCATTATTTATTTTTCTGCCTTTCAACTCTTCCAGGAAATCGTTGTAAAAATTGTAACAAAAAAGCTTGGAGAGAAGTATCACAGGAAGAAGGCAGTTGTTAAGGTAAATTGAAAGCATGTGGCGTTGGTTTGGCTTTTCTGGTATCTGATCTAAAGTCTTGTTGCATTATGCAAGTTGTTCAGCCTCAAGTCACCACTGAAAGGGTGGGCTCACATCCTTACCTCTATCAGGACTTAACCTGGGCAGGGACTGAAGCTCTGAATTGGTTGAATGTCATTTACTCAGTTATCCTTTCTCAAGCACTGTTTTGTCCTGCATAGTTTGTCCTATTAACGCACCCATCTTGGAGAGCAGTCTCTTTGCCAATGTGATATGACCAAGAGCAGTGCAATTGCATTTTAAGCTGAGACTAGCCAGGTTTGCCCTGGCATTTAAGCTGCCTTTGAACAAGATTTCATTTGCATACAAAATCTGGAGGCTGAGCCTTGCCCTGTAGTTCAGAAGTGCTTTCTTCAGCCACCGCTAGTGAAATGGTGTTGTACCAGGTAGTCCAAGGCTCAACAGCCTCTGGCAAGACAACCAAAGACAACACCCAGATGTGTTTTGAATGAACAGGAGTGTACAGAGCTCAAAATCACAGCTGAATATCTGAATATGAGAAATGGAACATGGTTTGTGCTAAGGACCAAGATGTTCAGTAACATTTTGCCTCACTGAGAGTCAGTATCCTACTTGTCACTGTGTGGCCTCCAGCCAGTTTAGCCTCTGAGGGGGAAAAGAAGCCCCTAATTTAGACCCCATCTTTGAGAGAACAGACAAGAGAGCTGACCTTAAGGCTGGTAAAACCTTTAGAAAAGAAGGTACCTAAATAGTGGTCAATTAGAACAGTTCACTGCTGTTCTAGAGGAGCCCTTTTAATGTAGCCTTAACTTCAGAGTGAGGCCAGTCAGTGATTCATGAAAGCTGGATGCCCTCAGGAGAGCTCACAAGTCCTTGCTGCTTGTGAAAACATTGAAGTGCAGACTCCTGGTCCTGAGTTTGTTAATATTGAAACATAAATGTAGAGTCCTGTTGGTTTGGGGACTTCTTTTTCTGATTTGCCTCTGCCTTTCACAACAGGAAGTGATTGACAAATATACAGCAGTTGTGAAGATGATTGATTCTGGAGACAAACTGAAGCTTGATCAGACACACCTAGAAACTGTCATACCAGCACCAGGTACAGTGTTATGTTCAGTTTTCAGCTTAGATGTCACTGCAAAACTTCTGTTTCCATTCTTTTAAACTGTAATTCATCCACTTGAAAGGGCTGTAACCTTTACTCTGGAGCCAGGCTGAGAGAGCTGGGCTGGTTCAGCCTGGAGAAGAGAAGGCTCCAGAGAGACATTAGAGCAGCTCCCAGTGCCTAAAGTGGCCAATAAGAAACCTGGAGATGGGCTATGGACAAGGGCTTGTGGGGACAGGACAAGGGGAATGGCTTTAACCTGCCAGAGGGGAGATTTAGGCCTAGATATAAGGATGAAATCTTGACTATGAGAGTGGTGAAACACTGGCACAGGGTGCCCAGAGAAGCTGTGGCTGCCCCATTCCTGGCAGTATTCAAGGCCAGGTTGAATGGGGCTTGAAGCAACCTGCTCTAATGGAAGGTGTCCACTAGACCACGCAAGGGTTGGAACTTGATGAGCTTTAAAGGTCCCTTCCAACCCAAACTGTAATTCTGTGAAGAGCCACCTGGCTCTTGGTACAACATTTCATAAGCTACTTTGATCATTTACCTCACTTAGAGTATTGTGTACAGTTCTGGTGTCCTCAACATGAAAAGGACATGGAGCTGTTGGAACAAGTCCAGAGGAGGCCACAAGGATGATCAGGGGCTGGAGCAGCTCCCGTATGAAGACAGGCTGAGGAAGTTGAGGCTGTTCAGCCTGGAGAAGAGAAGCTGCGTGGAGACCTCAGAGCAGCTTCCAGTGTCTGAAAGGGGCCTATAGGGATGCTGGGGAGGGACTCTTCATTAGGGACTGTAGGGACAGGACAAGGGGTAACAGGTTAAAACTGAAACAGGGGAAGTTTAGATTGGATATAAGGAAGAAATTCTTTCCTGTGAGGGTGGTGAGGCACTGGAATGGGTTGCCCAGGGAGGCTTTGAATGCTTCATCCCTGGTGGTGTTCAAGGCCAGGTTGGACAGAGCCTTGGGTGAGATGGTTTAGTGTGAGGTGTCCCTGCCCATGGCAGGGGGATTGGAACTTGGTGATCTTAAGGTCCTTTCCAACCCTAACTATTCTATGATTATATATCCTCTGGTTACTTTCTAGGGAATTATTACAGTGCTTCTGCTTTGAGTCTTCACAGGCCCATCTCTAAGAGTTAGATGATCTTCTGAGAAGACAGAAGTGTTTTAGGAATGAGCTCATTTGATGAGATGAAAGCATCTCTCTTCAGCTGCCAGGAAGCATCCCTGGGAGCCCTACAGAGCCCTTGGGTCATATTCAGCCTGTATCATCCTTCCAGAATCATGCCTCAAATAGCTGTGGGTGCTTGGCAAAGCTTACCTGATCTCCTCTTTGGTTCACTGGCATTGCTTTGCCTGGTACACACTAACATTTGTGTACAGCACCTGAGCAGTATTTCGGGGAACAGTCCAGGTAGCAGTAAGCAGAACACTGTCAGCATATGGGGAAACAGGACATAGGATTTGGGGATTCGCAGATCCTTCAGCAGACCTGCTGCATTCTGCATGTGTGCAGCTGGTGAAAAGCTGGCCGATGGTGTCAAAGTGAGTGTTCTTTAACATAGTGGTACCTGTAGGGGAGCTCTGCCCACCCTTGCACTAGGATTGATGCCCTGATGGAGCTCCCTGGGTGAAGCAGAAGGCAAAAAGGCAACAGTGAGCTCTTAGCCCAAGGAATGGGACACGGGCCTGCTGTACTTTCAGTGGCTTCTGCCCAGTGTAGAATGGAGCAGTAAATCAAGGTGTGCTTTGGAAATGGGCAGGCTCTAAGACAAAGCTTAGGGTGCTGCTTGTTGGAGCTTCTGGGAGAAACCATCTCTCCCTCAGCTATCAGTAGAGTTGAACACAGCTCTATCCAAAGAAGTTGTGCACACTGTTGTGCAACTCTTTTCCTGTTTCTCATTTCAGGCAAGAAAGTGATGGTCTTAAATGGTGGCTACAGGGGAAACGAAGGCATCTTGGAATCTATCAATGAGAAGAGGTTTTCAGCTACAATAGTCATTGACTCTGTAAGTATCAAACACTGCAGGATCTTGTTTGTGTAGAGCACTTTTCATCTATACCTTTGGAAAGGTTTCCCAAAGAACTGTGGTTATCATTAGTCCTGTCTTACAGGTGGGGTTTATGCTGTGGTCACCCCCAACCTGTCCCCCACCAGTAAGAAAACAGCCACATAATCCCGCTTTGCAGACTAAAGCTGTGCTCTTTGCCTTTAAAAATGATGCCAGAATGATGAATTTAGCAAGTTTGGAACTTAGAAAATACTCTGCCAGTCTCTTTTATGTTTATTTTGAACAGGACTGTTGAACTGTTTTGTGGGAAGGGAAAAATGTGAGACATGCAAGGAGGTGACTTCTGCCTTTTCCAGACTGAACGTGGGGCTTTATGTGCTTATTTGGAGTCTTGCTCATGGTTAACAATTATGGTTGGGGTTTTCTGGGTTTGGGGTTTATTTTATGTATTGCTTTTCTCTGGGCTAAAATTCCCCATTGGCGTCATGGCTGTGTGGCTGCTGTTTTGTTCTCTGCAAAGCCAAGCTTGAAACTCTTTAAATTCAAGGCCAGGTTGGACACAGGGGCTTGGAGCAAGCTGCTCAAGTGGAAGGTGTCCCTGCCTGTGGCAGGGGGCTGGAACTGGAGGAGCTTTAGGGTCCCTTCCAACCCAAACCAGTCTGGGATTCTATGACTGATACAGCAGAGAGGTTATTGGTTTAAAGTCAAGTTTCATACAAAAAGCTTGTAGTAGAGAGACCTTGTTAGGATCCCATTCAGCAGAAATTCAGCTGCTGTTGGAGTCTGGAGCATTTGCTTGAGAAGAGACTGGAAAGTCACAGAAGGAGCTTTGGCTGGAGCTAAGGACCATGCTAATGTTGGTTTTTGAAGGCAAGGGTAGTTTCTGTCTAGCTCTGATGTCTGTAGGTGTTAATATTTCCCTTTCCTGAATGAACTCTGAGCCTATACATTAAAAATGGGTGAAACTACCCCTGGAAACAGCAAATACTGACTATAGGGTGACCAGGATTTTTGTATTCAAAATTACGTCTTTTACTACTTAGAAATCCATAACTCAATCATAGAATCCATAGAATCCATAACTCAATCAGCTGCTTGTATTTGCCCCAGAATTGCAAGGCCTTTAACACAAACAGTGTCCTGAAAGTGAAAAGATTCCTGTGACAGTGTTTGAGGCCCTGTCACATTTTATGGTCAGCTTGAAAATAATGGAACAGAAAGTACTTTGTTGTGTGCAAATCCCAGACCTGCACGTTTTGGGATGCAGTTTACTGCACATCCCCTGTACAGCCTCCATCATGGAGCTATAGATGGCTTTTGGACAGAGCTCTGAAACAGAAAAGTCTATTTTGATCCTATTTCTTCTGCCTTGTTCTCAGGGCCCTTTAAAAGGCCGCCGGGTTGAAGACATCCTGTATGAAGACATCTCCAAACTCGCGTGAGTTGCTTATCGTGGATCACAGAAGATTTTTGGTTCCCAAAACCATCTTTCTGGCATCTTACAGCAGACACAAGACTCTACCATGTCAGGGTTTTAACTGTGTGTGTGTGTATGTATTTATAATGTATATAGAAATTAACCACAAACAAACTGGATTTATTTAAAGACCACTATGGATTTGTTACATAAAATGCTTGTGGAGATCTGATCAGTGGAAATATTTCACCTGATTCTCTATCGAAGTTATAATACTGGGTTCAGTTTCCTTACAGATGGCTGTAAGTGAAGTATTCTGTAAGTGGAGTATTTTACTCACTGAAGTGTGGTAGCAGAGAGGCAGAATTACCTACAAATAGCTGCTTGAGGCACATAGTGTGTGTTGGGGCCAGGTTTCACAGCACACACTCCTCAATCTGCAGCCAAGTTCTGGCTGTAGGAACAAGGGGAGGGATTAAGTGAATAGCAGGAAGGGAATAGTGGTTATTCCCCTGGATGTTGTAGGAATGGTCTGGTTTATTGAGTGCTGTTGCCAGCTTGTTTTTGGTTACACATTGGTGTTGGTAGAATGCAAGTCACCCCTTCTCCGTTGTGTTTGCCAGTAATACTAATATGCAGTTTATCCTCATATGGACTCAAGTGTGGGTGCTGCTTGTGGGGTTTCTGTGTGCCAGCCAAGGTGTATGTGGATACAGACTGGTGATTGCTGGTTTGGTTTTCCAGAGCCTTTTCCTTTGTCACGTTTCCACTCTTGCTCTGCTCCGTGAGTATCATCACTCACTAAAGGATGTAACAGGGGCTTTTGTTATTTTTAAAAAATGTCACATTTTGTACAATGTTTAATTTCTGAACATGGTCAGGAATAAACAGAAACCTTTCCTAGGGCAGCGTGGTTCTTATCAGTGTTTTGAGGGGCCTGTTGAGCACAGTGAAGTGCCTGGCTGGCCACTGCCTTGTTTGTGAAGGAGTTATAGAACCACAGAGCAGTTTGGGTCAGAAGGGACCTTAAAGCTCCTCCAGCTCCAACCCCTGCCACGGGCAGGGACCCCTTCCACTGGAGCAGCTTGCTCCAAGCCCCTGTGTCCAACCTGGCCTTGAACACTGCCAGGGATGGGGCAGCCACAGCTTCTCTGGGCACCCTGTGCCAGCGCCTCAGCACCCTCACAGGGAAGAGCTTCTGCCTAAGAGCTCAGCTCAGTCTCCCCTCGGGCAGGTTCAAGCCATTCCCCTTGGCCTGTCCCTACAGGCCCTTGTCCCAAGCCCCTCTCCAGCTTTCCTGCAGCCCCTTCAGGCACTGGAGCTGCTCTCAGGTCTCCCCTTCAGGAGCCTTCTCTTCTCCAGGCTGCCCCAGCCCAGCTCTCTCAGCCTGGCTCCAGAGCAGAGCTGCTCCAGCCCTCACAGCATCTCCATGGCCTCCTCTGGCCTCGCTCCAACAGCTCCACGTCCCTCTTGTGCTGCTGCCCCAGAGCTGGATCAGGACTGCAGGGGAGGTCTCCCCAGAGCACAGCAGAGGGGCAGGATCCCCTCCCTGAGCTGCTGCTCACACTCTGGGGGTGCAGCCCAGCACATGGGGGGGTTCTGGGCTCAAGCACACACTGAAGCCGGCTCATGTTCAGTTTCTCATCAACCAACACCCCCAAGTCCTTCTCCACAGGGCTGCTGTTGTTCCAAGGACGTTCCTCACCACAGGGTAACCCATTCTTAATGACAGGAGACTTCTCACCATGCTCATTGCAGGGCCCATGTTCCTTTTCTGTTGGTTTTCCTTCACACCTAATGCACATCCTCCTTTTTGCCCAGCCCAGCAGTGTATGTACTTACGTTCTCCCAGCAGTCTGAACGAGCAGAGGTGTTCTAAAGTACTAAATCAGGTCCTGTGTGTTACCCTGCAGTAACCGCAATGCAGTTCAAGTCTGCTCTGAAACGCGTATTACAAAATAGCTTGAGTTTTTAATGGAATATTAATGGACTATTAGCCTGTTAAATCAGACACATCAAGAGCAAGATACCTGCTACAACCCAGCACGTCGCTTTATTATGGTTTTGACCAGAAAAGGGCGTTCCGTGGCGTTGGAAAGCTGATCCTTTCTAAAGCAAAAGGTGGTGAAGTCACCTCCTGTCGATCCAGCCCCAGAGCTGCTGTTCAGAAGAGGCGTTTGGGCATGAAGGAGCAGATAAGAACGTTTGTAACAAACTGGTTCCGTGGCGGAGGCTCAGGGTCTCTTCAGGAAGCTGTACAGGTGCGGGACCAGGTAATCTCTGTAGTGGCCGTCTATGAACCCCTTCCCGCTGTTGTGCACAAACCAGCACTGCACCTCAGTCCCAGCCACGCGGTCTGTCCTGTAGTCCTTCTGCAGCCCCCTGTGGGGAAGAGGACACCCCAAGTGAAGGTCGCTGCCCGACAAGAAGACAGTTGGGCATCAGTAACCCAGCATTGTCCTGCTAAAGGGGTGAGCTCTGTGTCTTCCACCACCGGGAAGTGGAAACAGCCACACAATACAATGGATTCACAGTTCTGTATGCAATATGTGTACAGACCCCATGCACATACATACAGCTGTGGGTATGGGGCCTTCTGTTGGTGTCTCAGGTGCTTTTATAGGGCGCACGCAAGGTCAGGCACTGGGCAGCTATGAGAACAGCACAGTTCATGCACAAGAACCCAACTTATCCCAGGTTTTGGCAACCACTAAAACCAGATTATCAGCAAAGGGAAAACAGGGATATCTTTCCCCCAAAATCCTTGAGATGTAACAAGCCTGCAGTCACTGATGTCCTCAAAACAGGTCAGATTTAGGAGAGCAGTAAAGCACATTATTCCTACCTGGTCACAGTGAGCTTGTTGCCTTTCACTTCCATGATGGCTTGTGGTTTCTCTGGCGGTTGCCCAGGGGTTTGGTGGTGGATGGACACTTCTGGTTCAGACGCAAACTGACCTGATCAAAGAGAGGTTTAGAGCTCTCTGCCCCTCACAGCCCTGGAGGCTCCTGCGTAAGCTGCTGTGGGAAACCAAAGTAGCTGCAGGAGGCAAAGCATCTGCTGAACCCAGGACATTATCCTGCATGGATCACAGGGCACTGGGCCACCAGGGCTCCGGGGCTGATTTCCCTGTGGGCTGAGCCCTTGCTTTTGTTTTACACCCTTGCTGGAAAAGACAGATCCGGATGTTTGTATGTAAAGCTTCTCAGGAGGAAGGTTTGAGGGGGTTGTTTCAGCCTTTTTAAGCTGGGAAAGCCCTGTCACAGTGTCACCAAGTCTGGGCAGGCCATTGAAAACACCCTCCCTGGACGGGATGAGGAATTCTCTCCTGGTCTGTGATGTTCTACAGCATCCTTGGGGCTTCCTGTAGGACTCCCCCATTTTCTATTTGAATCCTTTCCACACCTTCCCCATCAGGAGACAGACACCAACGAAGTCACCCAAGGATCTGCCAAGCTCCCTCCCCGGTGCCCCACCATTCCCACCTCCCATCCTCCATCCCTGACCTATGAGCCCGTGGGTTTCAGGTGAGAACTGGTTCTCAGGGGGAATGTAGATTCCCAGGAAGTCAACGTTCACGGGGTGATGCTTCCACACACGGTGCAGCAGGACCATGAAGGACATCTCCTCACCCACGCTGATCGTAACGTTGTTTTCTCTCTTCACAGATATGAGCAGCCTGAAAGGTGAACCAAAGGAAGGGCTCAGTCACACCTGAGCTCTCCGGCTCCTTGAGATGCTCTTGGGCATCCAAAACAACTGATTGGGGTTGGCAGATATGACAGAGTGTCCATCAAACCCCCCAGCCTTGGGAATGGTGCCCACTGCCCACACTGCCAGGGATGGAGCATTCACAACTTCTCTGAGCAGCCTATCCCAGTGCCTCAGCACCCTCACAGTGAAGAACTTCTTCCTTATCTCCAACCTGAACTTCCCCTGTTTAAGGCTGAACCCATCACCCTTTGTCCTATCACTGCAGTCCCTGATAAGGAGTCCCTCCCCAGCATCCTTGCAGCCCCTTTCAGATACTGGAACCCTGGAGGTATCTCAGATAACATGAGATGCTTTGCTGAGGCACCTGAATCCTGTTCTTAGCTGAAGCAGTCAGCGGTAGGGAGACAAATTCGGCTCTTTTTACTCATGTCTGGTTGACAGAATGGCTCTCTTGGCCCTGCTGCCTGATTTCAGTAGTGATGATGAGAGCTCAGACATGTAGCTACGATTCACGTGCCCGTATGCAGGATCTCTGTGACCTGGATCCCACCCGCAGCTGGGTCAGTCCGATGCTGCCAATGGTTCCCTTAGGAGTGCTCAGCAACTCACTGCTTCCGAATGATGTGGCCTGTGTCGGCCCAGCTCAGTGTGATGCTGTGAGATCCATCTTTCAGCGTGATCGTTTCTGTGGTGATCTCCACTTTCAGGCCTTTCTTCTTGAAGTAAAACCCGATTTTGCCAAAGTACGTGTTGAGTTTCTTATTCTCCGTTCTCTTGGCCCCGACGATCTGCCCATTGACCGCCACTCCTGTGAAGAGCAGGGAAGACAATGCCTAAATCTTGGAACACCCCTTAGAGACTTGGAGTTCCATGGGATCAGCAGAAACAGGAACCCCTCTGGCCCCCTGTTTTTGTCATCTTGCCAGCCAAGAGAAGAGAGTAATTTATTATAGCCCCTCCTGATGCTACTGCTCATCCCTTTAGCGTGTCAGCCTGGTGGGAACTGGTGTTAGGTCTAGTGCACTATGGGCTGATTCATAAGCCATTGCTTATGTGAAACTGCTGTCTTATATGCTTCTGCTTATTGCTGTGTGTGAAGGGCGCGGAGCGGTGGGGGAATGGTACCACATCTCCAAATACTCATTGCTCCAATTGCATGTGCTCCAAATACTCATTAACCTGCTTCCAAATACTCATTGCTCTTCACTTGTATTCCAGAACGAAATACTGATAGGTAAAGCCCTCTGAGGAGAAGAGGCTGATTCCCTTGGATTCTTTTGGGATTACACTTACACATTTTTATTCCCTGCCGCTAGGGATGCATCCAGTTTTATTTTCTTTGTACCCATCTACTCCTTTAAAAAGATGTATAAATGGAGAGGAGAGGAGAGGAGAGGAGAGGAGAGGAGAGGAGAGGAGAGGAGAGGAGAGGAGAGGAGAGGAGAGGAGAGGAGAGGAGAGGAGAGGAGAGGAGAGGAGAGGAGAGGAGAGGAGAGGAGAGGAGAGGAGAGGAGAGGAGAGGAGAGGAGAAAAGAGAAGAGAAGAGAAGAGAAGAGAAGAGAAGAGAAGAGAAGAGAAGAGAAGAGAAGAGAAGAGAAGAGAAGAGAAGAGAAGAGAAGAGAAGAGAAGAGAAGAGAAGAGAAGAGGAGAAGAGAGAAGAGAAGAGAAAAGAGAAATCCTCACCCATTGTGGAGATTTCCCCACCCATCTTGGTTTCTTTACCAGTGTTTGGCCATCCTCAGTGTGAAAGTTTTCCCTCATAGCTCACTCCTGCTTTCAGTTTCACTGTGCAGCTTGTGTCTGTTGCCTCTTGTCTTTTAGTTATGAATCTTGGAGATGTGTTCAGCTCCATCTTTACCTTCTGGTTAGGTGGTTGTAGAGAGCAACAAGATTGGCTAAAGCCAGTGACCAAACGCAGCCTCTCCCTCCATGTCCTGTGCTCCGGCCCCATAATCATCCCATCTTGGTGGCCACCGCTCAATTTGACCCAGTTTGTCAACAGCTTTCTTGTACTGACAAGCCTCAAACTGGGCACAATACTCCAGATGTGGAGCGAAACCGGCACTTCCCTAAGCCTGCTGGCCATGCTCCTGTGAGCACAGGCTCTTCTCTCTCGGCCTTTCCCTGCTCCCTCTGAACCCTCTCAGACCTGAGAGGGAAAAGTGCTGTCAAATAAAGCATGTTATCTT